AACAAGATTTTTACGGAATATATCGTTAGGTGGGCGTGCTTCATTGATACTGCGAGTGGAAACAAAGGGCAGTAATCTCCTTTGTTTAAAATAGACATCGATGTGTCATATCCGTTCATTGTTTTACATGGGCGCTAACAAAAGGCGCTTCATCAATGTGCGCTCCAGAAAGGTGTTCAGTTTTGGAACTAAACATTGAACTCGAATTCAGTCAAGTTGAGGATTGAAGTATTAGAAAAGTGAAATTGAAACAATTGTCATTTAAAAAAGGAATTTGTCCTCCTGTCAACTGTTGTATGCGATTCACTTTTAACCAACCTTCATATTTTTTTGTCCCGGGGCATAAAAGATCAAGGGATGTGAGATATGGAGAATGTGAAAAAAGTATGAAATGAAATGTGCAAAAAAATGAAATATGAAATTGGTTACATACTAACGGTGGCATACTAACGCCTCATGACAAACTGTTCTTAATATAATTTTATTTCCTGTAATTAAGTATTTAATTCCATTCCCTATAATTGTCCCCATAATTTTCGTGCTCTGCTTTCTGTGAATATGATTAATATATACAAATTTAAAAGTTTGTGAGATCATTGCAACCAAATTCGAAGTATATATACATATATATGTATATATTTGAAGGTCTTTAATATGATTCTCTGAAATATTCTTGCAATTCCAAAGAGTTCATTATTTTTCTTAGAAGATCAAACATGGATTTAAATGCAAGTGAGTTAGATCCGAAGGAAGTGTCCGAATTTTTCATTCCTGGTTGTTCCATTTTTCAAACCGTTTATTTATTGAATTTAAATTGAAAATTGCTTGAAAAAGGGAAGAAGTGCAAAAAATTGCCTGTACACATTATATGATATTCATCTTCTTCCTCATACATCCAAAGTGGAGCTATTCAATCAACGAGTGTCGACATGAAAAGCTACGGACGGCCATAACCATTGCCAATATTTTTCAATTAATGCTGATTTTCGATCAGCAATCTGTGCGGGTATCGTTGAAACAAGATTCTTAGGAGCGGTTTTTGTGAGGTACTACTGGTGAACCGTGGTCACCTGATTCATTGAAGGTTTTGGTTCTAGCTGTATGATATTCTCTAAGCATGGAAATTTCCTGAGTTGCTTTTTAAATTCGTTTCGATATTCCGTACTGCAATAACATTTTCTCATAGCTATAGATCCAATATATTAGTAGTGCTATGACTAATATTGAGGATACCCTTCCAAAGCAAAGTATTTCAACTAATACTTTTTTTTGATGTCTTATAAGGTTAATTTTTACCTTCTCCAATAATAAAATAACCAATTGCATGAAGCGCTTATATTAATAAGTATTCCACCATGGCATGTCATATAAAATGCCGCCATTTTGGAAATATCCAAGAACACTGCCGACATATAAACCACCATTGT